AAAAAAAAAAAAAAAAAAAAAGAAATAAAGGCCTTATTTATATACACCTCAAATACCTCTGGGCATCTCAGATCAGAGTGAGAGAATGACATAGCTTGAGAGAACCTCCCGGGATTACAGAGGAGAGGCTTGTGTCTGGTCACACAAAATCACATAAGGACGTGCCAGGCTGAGCTCACCACCATGTAACGTTCACCAAAACCCTACCTGAGAGTAGTGTACGAAAAGAGTAGGCAGCTGGTGTATATTGATTTCTCCCTCGGTGGAACTGCATTGACTAAATGTAAACATATGCCAGTATGGTTTTAGCAGTCTATGTTGCCTTTTTTTTTTTTTTAAAGTTCTTTGACATTCTTGTATGTTCCTCACCTTGCTGCAAGGATGCTGTTAACAGGTCAGATGACCTGAGTCCTCTCTGTGAACTCCTTAGAGACACCTCTGTTGGATCTTAGTACCAAGGCCACATCTACTTCTCCTTAGCAATGATTTCAAAGTAGCAAGCATGTTGGTCATCATGGTACCATTTTGTGCCTTTATCTTTCTATCTCTCCCTTTTTTTATTCATTTCTTCTGTCTTGCATCTGAAATTTCCTTGAAAGTCAACTTAAATCCTTTCTGAAATAAGGTCAAGAATAAATAAATTAATAAATAAGTTAATAAATAGAATGGAGCTGGAGAAACTGAGTTCAGAGATCGTCTAAGTAACCAACTCATAACAATCCGGGTCTGTATCTCCTGACTTCAACTTAGTGCCCTTTAAATAACTTGTATTAATAATGGTGATTCTCAATCATTAAGACCATTTAAATTATATTTAAAATATTATGTTTTCATGAAAAAAAAATATAGATGTTGGATAAACAAGACTTTTCTGAACAAAGAACATACCAAGAAAATAACAATATTGTAGTGGTAGAACAAAAGGAAATCTTCATATTGCTAAAGCTCCTAGGGTGTGTCAGTAGACTTATTTTGATCCCAAATGTATTTTACATACTACTGGGGATATATCAAATCTCTATATTAGGTAACAGTAACTACCCCAGAGACATTTCAGACTGTGATTTCTGTAAAGTCAGAGGATTCTGAATTCAAAGTTGTCATCAAGAAGTTGATATATGAATTGCATGTCTCATTTTATCAGAGTGGTATCACAGCTATCTATCAGGATATTTTCTCACCAGTCATGAGATATCACTTTGCTCTGCATGTTCTGAAACAACTGAAAGAAAGTATAAAAAGAATGCATAAGTGTGACACTGAATTCCAGAAGGGGAAAAATGAAAAAGTAGGCAGTTTAAAAGGTGAAGAGTTAAAAGCTGCTGCCAGCTGTAATTCAAGTCATTCAGAAGTCAGAGCCTTAGCACCTTCACCCTCACAGGCACTGTCCTGGCACTTTAAATTTTCTTTATCATAGGCAAGAGCATAAAGACTCCAGAACCAGTTTCCAAAGGAACCGATATTATAAAAAATTACATGTCAAATGAATTTAGAGGTTGACTAATGATTTTTAGAAAACAATATAGAGACAGTACCAAGTTTCCAGAAACAGAATCTAGCTCAAAGATTTTTACAGACTCCACTGCAAGCAAAATGCAATTTGACCACATTTGCAAAGATCGGAAGAATAAGCAACTGCCAAGAAATAATCCATAATATCAGAGCATAAAGCATGACAACAAAGTAATGCTTTTAAACAGATGTTTAAAGAGACATCTAAGGGCTCACAAACCCAATGAGTGCTGCCTTCAAAGCAGATACTCTGAGAGGCTGATACTTAATAAATATGATTGTTTAAACTCATTGGGAATCCTTTTATTAATGCAGTCAGGGCTTGTAGCACTTTATTATTTTGAATACCCTCTGTGATAACCAATCTTTACCTTTGAGGAGGATTTGAAGATATTTACGTGAAAAAGTATGACTCTGCTACGAACTGAATGTTTGTGTTCCTCCAAATCCATATGCTGAAACCCTAATCCCCAAGTGATGGTATTTGAAGGCGGATCTTTTGGGAAGTAATTAGGTCATGAGGTTAGAACCTTCATTATGGGATTAGTGCCCTTATTAGAGGAGACAGGAGAAAGCTTCCTCTTTCCTCCCCCCTAGCCCCTGACCCCCTAACAAGAGGACATAGTGAAAAGGTAGGCAGTTTAAAAGGCAAAAAGTTCATTAAGCAGGAAGAGAGCCCACACCAGAACCCAACTATACTGGCACCCTGATCTAAGACTTCCAGGCTCCAGAACTCTAAGAAATACAGTTCTGTTGTTTAGGCCATCCAGACCACGGTGTTTTGTTACAATAGCCTAAAGAGAGTACAACAGACTCTAAAAGCAACTCTGTGTGTGTGTGTGTGTGTGTGTGTGTGTGTGTGTGTGTGTGTGTGTTTGTTTGAAACACCTGTTCTGAAGATGATTCCTGTGATGTTGCAACAGTCATATTTGTGACATTAGACTACACTTTCTCAGATGATTTTGTTATTATTACTGTTGTACCATAAATATTATCTTGATGATAATGATGCTGCCATCACTACCATATATTGAACACCTAGTGTGTGGCAGACACTGTGCCAGATACTTGACATACATTTTCCTATTTAATCTTCAGGATTCCAGAGTTAGGTGTAACTGTTATCCTCACTGTATAAATGAAGAAACTAGGGCTTCAGAGTCCAGAAGTCACTGGTTAAGGACAGGGCTGGGATTTGAACCCAGGGTTGTCCAACAATGGATTTCATGTTCTTACTACCCTACCCCAGGGTAACAGGAAGGCTTCTTACATCTCAGGCCTGGCCCTGAGAATCTGTGCTCTTCTAGGCAGGTTTGTGCTGGGATTTATTCCATGAGAAAGAGATTGCTGCTCTCAAGACTGGTTTGTTTTATCACCAGGCAATTAAGAAAGGATAATGTTCCGGGATAAAAACGAGGCAGGGAGGAGATCAGCACTCATCTTCTAAAACCAGAGAACTTTCTCAGCAATAGATATGAGTGAGGTGGGCTCTGGGGCCAGGGCAGAAGAGATCAGTAAGGGATTTGGAGGTGTCAATGGACAAATACTCAGAGGTCAACACCTAACTTCTAGCACAGGCAAACCCTTCTGAAAAGTTGCCAAATCTTAAGTTTAATGATTTTAAAATCAGTGTGATAATCAATGGAACTATTCTACAGAAGAACATTTAGATTAAAAGTGTTAAAACTAATAATCTTTATAGTATAAGCATTTCTAAGTATGATCTGGCCACAATAATTTTAGAAAACCAGACTTAATTAGATTTTTGTGTCAAAGATATTCTCACAATTTCCTTAATACATATTTAAAACCTTTGGCCTTGGCTATAAATAGTCAGGAATGTTAACTTTCTCAGAGTTTCAAATAAACATAAAGAAAAATTACCTGGTGGTATTTCTTCAGGATGTTGTGCATTTCGGCTACGTCTTCACTGGTTATAGTCTTGATGACATATCTTTTGTCGTAGGACGTATGAAAACGGGCTCCACTGCGTGCCTGGGAGTCATTGGGCAGGGGTGCACTCCTGGTCAAGGAATTCTTCCCGGGCAGGATAAGAGGGGGTAGAGGGAAGAGAATGAGTTAAAGATGAGGCTTTCTGATTCCCAGATAAGTAGTTGTCATTCCAAGTTTTCAAAAACATTTGTGTTCAGAATAAACTGGTAAGTAGGATGACAATATTTTAATTCATCATAACTGACACTGCAACCCTTTCAGATGAAATGACGACAGCTTGAGTGTGTACTATAATTCTAATGTCCTTAAGCAGGCTAACATCTAGAAATGTAATCAAAGTTACTTTATTCGCCTTGGTCATCTTTTCAGAGTTGGACAGGAATGCAAATTTTTCCTCTGAGTAAAATTAGATTCCAGTCATAAAAGAAAATTTTAGTCACTGTTTCCTTACGTTATGTAACAGGTATTGTGCTGTGCATTTTGCACAGAGTATCCCCCCCAATTATGGTAACATTCTCATACAATGGTTATGATCACAATCATCATTTTATAGATAAGAAGATGGGATAAGAGAGGGATATAGAGAGGAGAGGTCACACAGTTACTAAGGAAAAATCTAGAATTCTAACTCCAGTGTGGCTGGTTTTGAACACAAGTTATCAACTAGTAGACTACTCAATTAGTAAACTAGTAAACTAGGCCTGTGGTGTGCCCTGGTAGGAGAAGGCAGGAATCTGGGCAACTGTATTCTAAAACAACTCCTCTTCAGAGATTTAGATTTGGTCCATCCTCCATGCCTCTTCAGCCATTTTTGAGAACTACTGATTTTCTGGAGGATGGGCAAGGAGGGCCTCTGAAATAGGGGCTCTTCCGGCATAATTTAACTTCAGGATCTGGTTCAAGCTAGTGACAGTCTAGCTGTTAAGCCTACTCTTCTTCTTGCACACATGACTCTTTTGTTTGGATCTCCTCCTTTTCAGATCCTCCAGGAAGCCACTGCCCATTGCCCCAACCTTCTGACACTGGCCATCCAGATGAGTGGGGCTAACAAGCCCCTGGCACCCAAGGAAGTCTGGCCTCCAATCCCTGCTAACTGTGCTTGAGTGTTGACTTTCACTCCTTGCCTGGCTCCACTGGACTGTATGTGCAGGATCCAAAGACAAACATGCCTTTTCTTCAACTTCTCTCAAGTGGGCATTCAAAAGTCAAGTGGCACAAACACTGTCTAATTAAGGGAACATGGATGCCTTCAGAGAGGCAGGTGATAGCTCTGCCCCTGGTGTGAGTCTTCTTATTCAAGTCTCCTTATCTTTTCCTTTCTTTCTAGATGAAATCCAACGGAACTGAATTGTACAAGGTAGAATCAAATTGTAGGGGTGCAGTGGCCCATGCATGCCCCAAGCCTGAGGAGGTAGACAGCCCATGAGCTCATCCTCATTTCCCTGATGGACCCTGCAGTGCATCACATTCTGAAATAGCACATCTAGATCCGAATGCAAACAGGTATATCTGACAAATGCAGAATAAAGACCACCAATTAACTGATTTTTGCTTTCCTTAGTTTACTAGAAAACTTGAGAGAAGAAAAAAAGTCAACTTAGCTTCCTATGACCTCAAAAAGCAGGACTTGGCAGTGTTTAATTACTCTTAAGACAACTCAAATTCATTAGATAGAGCAAGAATAATGAAAATGATTTTCAGGATAAAGGCTATATGAACAAGAGTTTAATTCTCAATTATATTTTTTTCTAAAAACAAACAAACAAAAACTCCTTTACACTACTTCCTACTTATAATAAAAGAAGAAAATCAAAGCGAATGTTCCCTTTTAGGATTTTAAACACCAGGGGGAAAAAAGCAATTGTTGTTCTTTGTTAATGGTCTTGTTTTTTCCTCCCAAACATTAATTTGCAAAAAGGGTATTAATTCCAAATAAAACAAGAACTTTAGGAATTGTAAGATTGCAAATTATCTTTGGGCATAAAATCAAAGCAGGAACAATCAATTTTATGAAAGCCAGGTGGAGCAGACCAAGTTTATGAATGCCAGGTGGAACAGACGAAAGCTTTGTCAAACTGACAATACGTGCAAAATAACTTTTAGAGGATGGGGGATAGTAAAGAATAACTATTCAGCATGGGACAGAATTACAACAGCACCAGTTTCACAGATTGTTTTCTTATGCATATTAGTTAGGACAGTATAATGTTCTCTCACGGGCCAAGGGGGTAGAATAAAATCAAAACTGCATAGTCAGTGCTTTTCAATCTTAATGAGCAATGGAATAACCTTGGGATCATGTTAAAAAATGTAGATTCTGCTCCAGCAGGTGGGGGTGGTATTTTAAGAAATAGATGGTGCTGACGGAACTGGTCTGCAGACCACATGTGAGAACTGAGGGTCTAATGAATTGTTTTTTTCTGGTGCATAATGCGTAGTGTCTAGTGTATTAAGTGTGTTAAAATTATAGACTTACCTGCATTAATGCCTTTCTCATTATATTCTCTTCATTTCTGGTTTGATTAAAATGGAAAACTTTATAGTTCAGAATAAAAACTCGTGGCATTTACTGTACTAATTAGGAAAATATTTAATAATATTATATACAAGTACCCATACAATGTATGGGTTTATAAAAGACTAGAAACGTAAAATAAAATAATGTAATAACTCTTTAGGTCAGATACTATCTCCTTCCAAATTCTTTGCCTTTCCCTTCAGCTTCAAAGATATTGTTATAATCATTTACAGACTTTACATTAGATTAGACCATGTCTTAATCCTGGGATATAAAACCTCAAAAATTCTAATCTTGATTCTGTCTCAGTTCACTTTATTTTAATAGTCACATGAATAGTCCCAACCCACAACGTCTACTTCCAGTATTTGAAATAAGTTTTTAAAGGCTCGTGATTGTCAAATAATCAGTGAAGTTAGAAATACTTTGTCAAAACTTAGAACATACCTTTTGTACCACTATGAACATAAAAATATGTGAATACAACCTATTAAAAGCCTTATCTGACAGACAAGCAAACAATCAAGAGTTAATACAATTTTATACAAAATGTCTGATCCTTGGAAATGATTCTAAGACTTGGAAAAATCCAACTATTTCACTGGAGTCAAGCAATATGTCTAAGATTCCTGTAACCAAAAAGGGCAATTCACAAAGACAAGACTAAACTTTTGTCATTTAGGTAGTATCATAATCATAGACTTTGTAGCCTTTAAAATAAGGTAAAATTGTGTTTTTATTTTTAATTATTTTTTTAATTATCATTTTATTTCTTACCTTTTCCAGGTCATGAAGCAAATGTGTATTTTTAAAAGTAGCGCAATGTAATAGGGCATTGGTCTGGGATCTAGAACATTCATCAGTCCTTGCATACATAATTTAGTCTCTTTGAGCCTCAGTTTCTGGGACTGTAAAGCGATGGAGAATCAGCTCAGGGGCTAGAGAGGGCTGAATTAGATCTCTACCTTAGATTCAGATCTTTAACTCTAAAAATGTATTTACGCAGACTCAGGTCATTGTTCTAGGAAATGCTGGAGAGCACAGACCTCAGAAAGTGACTCAGTACACATCTCCCCAAGAAGCGTCCAGTCAGGAGACAGTACAACCATCATCTCAGCAGGAGCATAATGATGGTTTAGGACATCTGGGCCAAGATGAAAGAGAAGATGACAACGGTTCTTAGAGCCGGTTCTTAGAGCCACATGAGAGCCACTTTATAGATTCCAGATGTATTCAGGACAACTTCAGCTAGAAATGAGCTTGGGAAAAGAGGTCTTATATATTCAAAGTAGCCATTGTGCTGCCTAAAAACGTCTGCCATCTAGTGAAACTGAATATGAAACTCCTCAGTATGCTTTGTTCTGTCACAAAGGAAAAACAAATAAAAGCACTGTACTACAAGATGCTTGGACAAGATGGGGAGGCCAAGAGAGAAAGATTTGAGGGAAACAGCTTAGAAGTGACTCTCAGGGACCCCAAGGGTTCCCTCCATATGTAAATAAATCTCACAACATGCAGAGTTGTGAAGCACCTTTGGAGATTATTTCAAGTCACTCAATTCACAGATAAGAAAACAGAGACCCAGAGTGAAAATGACTTGCCCATCTCAGTTCTCTAACATCTGGTGGGCCGTGGTATGTGAAGAACCCTACAAGGGTCCCATCCAAAGCCCCCCCACTCATCCCCACAGTGCTGCTTTCCTTTCTGGGCTCTAGAGTCTGGTGGGCATTACAATAGGATAGTTTCTATCAATCATTCCATAGTGACAAACAACTTCTAATATCAATTTAGAATGTGAGCCAGCTGGCACAAAGCCAACCTATCTTTAGGTTTTCAATTTTGCCAAGTAAAGAGAGTAGAAACCATCATCAATAACAATCACCATGCTAATGAAGTCCTGGGTCCTTTATTTATACTTTTATTAACTATCTGGACGCCTTCTGGGAAGTTGATTACTGGACATTAACTGAGGGGGGAGGAATAGGAGCTGTCTTCTCTCCAGGCAAGAGCAGAGACAGATGTGTGTTTGTGGAACAAGACTTTAGGACAGGCAGACTGTATGTTTGTTGCTGAGTCCTGGGCTCAGAGTCAGACAATTCATGCTGCATAAAGACAGAGCTGAAAGATGTCTAGCACTTAGCATTTCTACAAGTCCTGTAGACTGTGGAGATGATGTCAACCCTAAGAACTCTGCACATTTCTGACCATGTGGCACACTGCATCATGCCTATTTATTAGTTCATGTGGTCTGAGAATTGTTGCAGGTTTTCATTCTCTGTCACTGGCTTCTACCTTTAGAAGCCTATCCCATCCTCTTTCTCTGCTTAAAATTACATGGGTTTTCTCGGGAAAGAATGCCAAAGCTGAAAGGAGTAATCTTTTATACTAGGAGTGTGGAATTCTGGGTTACTCCCTGCAATATAACCGGGGGGGGGGCGGGGAAGGACAGAAAAAGAAGTTAAGATGAAATTTGCAAGTTACCAGCTCTCTATGGAAGAAAATTAGCCTAGCAGAAGACACTATTTTTAAAAAGTCTTTCTCATCTTAATCACCAAATTAAAATGGC